CGTCACCTCCAAATAAAAAAACTAACAGGATAGTTTTGCCGCTTAGAGAAAGGAAGAATATTATACGGTTTAATTGGTTTATTTATGGCCCAAGCGTGCTTCGCGCTTGGGCGAAAAACTCGGTCTGTAACTTAAAGTACGGGCCTCGAACTCGGTTAATTAGTAAGAGGTATTTGTGGCTGATGCTTTCTGCATGCAAAAGAAACTGACTTACCAATTATACAATGGCTACTTAGGTTTTGGAGATGCACTAGCTAGTGACACGGTGAAATTTCAACGTCGACTTACATTTTTCCAGAGGTCGTAAGAAACTGAACACGTCGCTCAGTTCGTAGCCTGAAATCAACACACGTCCGTTGCTGAATGGAGCTAACTCTGACTTAAACATTATTTATCTCCCAGTAAGGTCAATGTGGTTACACTTGAGCATGACGCAATAGATTGAGCAATTTGTACCAGTCTGCGCCAGTTCAAGGCTTTACAGACTCTTGAACTCTTCCCAGTAAGACATAGATTGCTTTAAGCTATCAAAAAAGACCAAAAAGCTGAGAAAGAGAATGGAGGGACTAGACAAGGAACTAGAGTTACGAAGGCATAAAATCAAGAGCTGAACAGCTAGGACTGGAAATAGCTAGTATCGGTAGCTCGGGTTAGGATCAACAGGTCACAAGGCAATATTGAATGCAAACCAAAGATGTTTCACAGCGTGATTAGAATTTCTACTTTAAAAATGTACGAACCCAGCTCTCCTGAAACCAGAATACAGAAATCACTTGGGATTGACTATAATCCTCCCTCGCGTACTATTAAATATGATATTCTGAGTCTGCTTAAATTTATTTTATTAAGTTCAATTCATTAATTTTCAATAGGAAAAACTTTCTCCTAGAAAGTTGAAGAAACTGAGCAAAACAAGTTTAGAAATAAGCTAAAATACACACCAATTCTAGAAATTAAAACAACTTAAATGAACGAATGATCAGTATTCCGTTGTGCATTTAGCGTATTTAGCTATCACCCATGAATTGCCCTATCCTAGCCTCTTGAATATATCGATGTTCTTTAGGCTC